AGTGGTGGACTAACAAGCCCGGATGGAAGCCATCCTTCGTTATCTCAAAGTCCACCCAAAGGAAATCTTGAGCATTTTCCAGCTGCCTCACCTTACCCCTCCCCTGGTTACCCCTCACCTCATATGTCGCCTGGTAATTTGCCAACTCCAGACCCCTCCCCCATTGGTAATTCCAATCCTTCCACGGCAAGTGTGAACATCTCTTGGCAGGGTATGGGGCAAATGAAAGTCTCCTCTCAACCTCAACAGCACTGCCCACCGCAGCAAAACCATCTGCCCTATTCAACCATCCCATCGCCACAGCCTCCGATACAAGTCCCAAGCAAATCTGCGCTGATCTCAGCTGAAATGAAAAAGAGAGAAAAGAGTGATACGTACCGTAACAGCTGCATCTCAGGACAATCACCCAACCCCATGACAAGCCCTAGAAGAATGCAAAATATGCCAGGTCAAAGTATACCTGGTAACTGGCAACAGCAGGCGCAGTCAGTGCAACATCAACCACCAAGACACTTGCCACACCAGCAGGGCTATGAATGGAAAGCCTCACAAATGCATACCGGTAATCACATACCTTATTTTCCCGGAGAAAGAACTGCCACAGCCACAAGGCCAGATAACCCAGTTTATGCCACAAATATGCAAGGGAGGAACTGGACAGTCCCTCCCCCGTTTGAGGACATGCTGCCACCCCTTGAGTGTGACAATGTAGGTGGCTACATGAAGACGGGGCAAAATGTTCAGGGCCATCTTCAACACCACAGTATGGACCCCTCTATTTTATCACCACCTTATCAGGAGGACTTTCACTCAGGATTCGCCTTTCAAGGGAATCCATTACCGGCGATGAGTCAAGGGCAAACAACCCTTGGGCACTGGTGAAAAACCGGCCACACCCAGTAATAACATACTGTCAGTCAGTAGTAGCTTACTTACTGTACCTTCAGAGTAAAGTGGGGGGGAGGCCAGTCGCAACTTGTCCTTGTCATGGTACTGTGGTAAATCACAATGACGTGCTTCAAAGGGACATTAGCAAAGCCTTAAGGTCAGGTGTCAGTGCATCTAGATATGTTTTCAAGTTGTTGATAGTTTGTATTGACATGATTAATTAACTCTAGCAGGGAATTTTCTATTATCTTCAGAACATTCAGATTGACGGCGTCTCTGTGATTATTTGCTGGGATGCAGATTATAAAGTTTTATTTTGCTGTGTTATGACCAACTTCATGGCATTCAAAGTGCCATGCACTATTTAATGAGATTAGCCAGAGAATGCATTCTCGTATTAAAGGAGAAGTGACTTGCCATGAGAATCAATACATCTAATCAGATTTGCAACCAAGTGCTTTATTGATCACTCTGCCGTAATATGGTGGAACTTTCAGACTAAAATCCAAATTAGCAGGGAAGAACAAAATCGAAATCGAAATTGCTTAGCCAAGTTAAAAGTAGAGAAAACGTTTTGTCTAAAATTATCCTGAAAGTTGATGACATGAAGAAGTTACTTTATTTGAGCTTTAAGTTGTATTATTCCTGTTTTTCTTTGCATACTTAACATCTATGGATCTTTTTATCTTCCCTCGTTGTCAATCAAAGTTATGTCTGGAAGTAGTGAAAATTTCATTTGGTTTTCCATCTGTTTCATTTGGTCAACATTGCACTTGGTAATGAAAATCATACTTTCAGGGTTTTAGCCAGGAAATTATTCACACGTGATCCCAAGATAACCCCCACCCCTCTAATGAGGTCAGGGGCAAGCCCTCCATCCCTTCCAGGGGGAACTTTTTGCAATTTTTGCCGAAAAATAGGCCCGAGACTCTCTTAATTCTCAATCCAGTAGATCTAGAACCAAGATGTCAGAATTTTGTTTTCTTCAAGACTAGGTCTCCGTGGGACAATGTGACTCCCACCTGGCTAAAACCTTGCTTAGTTTGCTAGTTAGAAATTGTTTAGGGACAAAACAATACGTATTAGGAGTTTCTAGGTTAGTGTTCTATTTGTAGGGTTCCGTGCTGGTCACCATACCAGGATTTGTACCAGTAATTGATTTGCAGAGGTATAATCTGAGCTATGTTCACAAAGGAGACAAATACAAAAAAGGATGTGTCTTAAAACCTGTAGTCTTGACGTTCATTGTTCTGCCACTCAACTCCCATGTACAGATGTTTAGACAGGACTTCTTGCTTGTACATTATTTTGCTTTTTTTTATTATCACATTTTTGGTCATTTTGTACTCATTTACATATTTATAGATACAGTACGCTCAACACTTCTTGATTTCACTTAGCACATTTGTAAGCAAAACAAGTCATAATCAAGCCAAACAGGAGCTGCAAAGTGTATTCAAGATAAGTTTATTTAGAAGTGGATAGGAGCAATTTGTATATTCATAGCTTGAGAAATAATTATCTGTAGAAGACACATCCTTTTTCCATTCATTGTCTTTATAAACTGCGACTTGTAATTTTTTCAGAAAATTACTCAAGCATTAAGGGAGCAATTTCCCTTGTAAATATTCCCACTAGATTGTCCATATGGTTTAGATTTTTGGATTTGATGTGAAGACTGCATCTGAGTAAAAGGATAAAATCGCTGTGGCAGTGGAAATGATTAAATGTAAAAGTGTGTAGTGTTAAAAAGTAATGATCAACTTAATATGTTGATGTGGGAAAGAGGGCACAGCTATAAAAACCAGGCCCTTGAAATGATCATAGTATGTGACTAGTAGAGAGTATATGTTAGCTTGACACGAAGTACTTTCTGCAAAGGTTAACAAACTAGGGCATACTTATAGTAAGAGTAATGGATCCTCGTTAATTTCCATTAATTGTTTCAAAATGTGCGCGACAATCAAAGAAAATGACTGGATTTCAATATCTTAGTTGGAAAAACTCCCTTTAAAAGAATTGATCCAAGAGCGTGGTTTTTGGGTACTTTTCATGGCACACATCAATATATTAATTTTTAAGGTCTTTAATTTAAGTGCTAATACAATAATTAGTTTAGAGTAGTTGAAAGTCAGGCGATTAAAAAAGATAAGTGCTTTATAGTATAAGAGTACATTAGTTTTAGGGTGTCTGCAGTGTCAGGTGACGGGAATGTGTTGTTAGCTACAAGTATTAAAAACTCGCATGATCCAGCCTGGTTTGTCATTACTTTGGAAAAGTAAGCTTGAAGAAATTGGTTGTCCTTACACTAGGCTGTTTAGTAAGTCTTAGAGCTGTCAAGTTTTACTTCACCAAAAATGCACGTGGGAAGGCCTAAGTAAAATCTCACAAAACTTTACTTTGCATCTCATTAAAGCCAGAAAGTTGAAATGATTCAAGAAAGTTTCAGGTGACTCGAAAACCATCCTCAAATCCGATTTAGAGAACTTGCAGTTTCTTAGCTTTGAGGAAGGCAAAGCATGTCAATCAAACTTAATTTACGTTGCATGGGAAAACAGGCTTAAGTAAACCTGAAGTAAACAACATAGGTTGTGTGTGAGGCTTTCTTTTACTTGAAGAATTTAAAATTTACTTTCCTTGAAATATTTCTTAGCTTATTTAGGCTCTAGTGTAAAGACTACCATTTACTTGGCTAGATTTAGACCATTTTGTAGGTGTTAATTATGCAAATGGTGCATAATTAACAGCTTCAGGAGCCTATGACACCCCCTTTGGCACATTTTTAATTTGAAAATGTTGGTTGACACGTATTGAACCATCGGCAAAGCAATACCAACTTTCTTTGACTATGTTTTAAGAAGTCTCTACAATATTAACCCAAAACAGTTGCCTGTTTTAGAAAAACAGAGCAAACCGATAATAACTTTTTTAGCCATATGGGTTGAGGGTTGAGTTTGATTGATTTTTGTTCTTTTCTCTAGTTTTCCCCTCTCCTCAGAAATCAAAAATTCGAATTTGACGTACAATCTTGTACAAAATGGATGGAAAATTTATACCCCTTCTCCCCCAAAAATCAAGGATGGGAAAATGGCACATTTTGGCTTTTACGCGGCTTTATCCGGCTTGATCTAGGGGGATGGGTGTTGCTGTTCCATTTTATTCTGTCCAAGATTGTGGCCTTTGAACAGGCTCTCTGTTTGGCAGAAGGGGGCTAAAAATTGTAAAGGTGACAGCAAGGGGGAAATGCAGGAGCCTAGCTCATATCCAGTTATAGTTGCCATGACAACCCATTTGTTTCACAGTTGACCCAGGATAAGAACTACAGTAGCGTTCAAAAGTAAGTTACCACTCTCTTGCAAGACTCAAGTTGTGTCATGTGCTACATGACTCTGTATCACTGAGTTGAACAACTTTGCCCAGATTAGTGTGCACTGACATAACATGCTCACCTACAGAACAACCCTGAGACACTTTGTGATGCCACTACTGGTTCCACTGCAAAATGGGGTCCGAGAAACGACTGCAGAAATTCCATACCAATGATGTGTCACTACCCAGATCTGGGTTACTAGTGCTTATGATTCATTGAAGCCAAGTTCCCTCGCAGAATTCCTATCAGAGGCACTACCCAGATCTGGCTAGTGATGCGTCATCAGTATGGAATTTCTGCAGACATCCCAGATGTCATTTTGCAGGGAATGGTGGTGGAATTACGAAAAGTTGGCTGTTTTCTCAGGCTTCACCACTAGCAATCTGTGATGTCCAAGACTTAGGTTTGATTACCAGCCGCTGTTCAGGAAAATGAGCCCGGCAGAAATCGAGCCTATCCAAGACTGCACAAATCCTATTGGCACCCTCCATCACACACAAAACAATCAAGTCACATGGATAAAACCCCTTCACCCGGTTAACAGCGCCAAGTGAGCAACCTTATGAACAATAATTACATAAATTTTACATTAATTTTATTAAGGTTCTTAGAAGCAGCACATAATTCTATATTTTTGTTGAAAAAGCAGTGTTACAGTTTCAAGGTAGACTTTGGACACCATGATGTAACTATGTCCAGGAGAAGATGATGAACGAAATTATATTACAAATTTTTAATAATTTTATCCACGTGTGTATTTTCCCCAGATGTGAAGCATGAAAACTGAAGCAATGAACAATAAACTCATAACCAGAACTGGAACAGGGCCCCTGTGAAAAGCAAAAAAAGAGAAAGAGACAAACATCAAAAAATTTTAATAACATTTGTGCTATATAAATATAAATTATTACTATTATTATTATTATTATTATTATTATTATTATTATTATTATTATTATTATTATTATTATTATTAACATTACTATTACATGTATGTCACTCCATGGAATGGCAAAAACAGAAACTCAATGTAAACCAAAAGTACTATTTTTTATTTAACCCTTAAAACCCCTGGTCAAAAGTGACCAGCATCCAATTTCTCCCAATAATAACACTGCCTGATCAAACATAGAGGTCATCAGAATGAAGGAAATGATCACCAAAGTGAAGTGTCTTTATGTTTGAACAAATTCTCTCCAGCGGATGTATAAAAACAGTGCTGAAGAAGAATGTGCATGTTGATATTGGGGCTTAAAGGATCAAGGCAGCCCACTTGGCTTTTTCGGGAGCAATACAATGTACCTTTCAAGTTTTCAAGATTTTACCATCAACAAGAGCACCTCAGTGCTAGTTCAGTCAAAAAATAAGGGGGGCGAGAACTCCCCTGGATCTGGATCCGCCACTGATGATGAAGTGTTGAATCTTAACATTTGCAGTAAAAATGATTTTAAATCAACTTGTTCAGACCCCTCCCCAATAGAATTTGTAATGAGACCTTCCACCCATTCAGGTGATGATGGTGGGGTTATTGAGGGATCTTTTCTCCAACCACGTGACTTTTAACCCTTTAAGCCCTAAGAGTGATCAGCATCAAATTTCTCCTTGTAATACCAATGCTTTTTAAAACGGAGTGGTCGTGAGAATTACGGACATGATCACACAGGATGAATTTGCTTGACATCTTATCAGATAACTGTAATGAGGTAGGAAATGAGTAGGGGCAACAAATGTGAATTCAAATTTTGATCTTAGGGTTTGAAGGGCTAAGAAAGATTACAATTTTTAAAATTTTATATACCAGTAGTAAGAGTAAAAAGGCTTTCAAAATAGAAAACCACTTTAAACTCACACTTTAAGTCCAGGTGAGTCTTCAGTATAAAATCTCCACATTCCACTGCTACTTGCTGCTGTACGAGATCTTGCTGCTGGCGCACTGCTTCCACCTTTCCTGTTAAAACAACAATACACCAAAAAGCAATGGGTTTTTTTAGATTCCTTTGTCTTTAGTAGAATTTTAATTGAGAAGTGATTGCAAGAAGGGTATCTGGTAAACGCTTTCAAAGCTTCTTGGCCTTACAGATGATGCATTCACCTAATGACAGAGTACAAGAGAATGAAAAGACAGTCAAGAATACACAAACTGCCACCCAATTGTCAATGATAGAACAACAACAATACTGATACACTTGGTCTCACACTGGCGTCAAAAATTCTTGTTTATAAAACATAAACATGATGCTTAGGAGAAATAAGAGTAACTATTCATCCATCACTACCGCCTTTTGCCTACACTGTTGTTTTCACAACGCCAAGAAACATCTGTTATGTTACTTTGCTCTACTTCCTTGAAAGATAAATGTTTGGAAATTTTTTTCTGTACAGCAATTACAATAAAAAGCATTCCAACAAGGAGGACAAGGCATTCCTGATAAAAGGGTTTAATGGAACAGAGGAGAAACTCTTTGGCATACTACTGAAAAATTGACAATGAGGGGGGCCATACAAAGTGTCCACATTAATGGAGTTTCCGTATTAAGCGTGTTGAATTTACAGAAAATATAAAGGATTTTTATTCTCAGGGACAAAACAAACTGACAGTAACATTGATGTGTACACATGTAAGTGTCTGTATAGCAGAGCTTGACTTTAGACCACAAATTTAGTATAGGTGTGACAGCTCATTTTGTTGCCAAACGTTAACAACTACTGTCACATGGCTTTGTTTAACAAACCAAAACGGTGAACTCATGTGGTCACATTCCTCAGCATTTTGCAGGCAAAGACGAATTTTCTTTCCCGGAAAGTCAAAAGAAAAAAGTGTTTTACTGGAAAATATACCACTCATAATTCATATTAACTACATCCGGGACCTGAGTGGTTTATTTTCCATAATCTCACACGTGAGTTTATCGATGACGTAATTTTGGTAATTTCCCTCTATTATTTTATCGATGTCAATTTGTCTATATAATAAAAAGAACATTACGCGGCAACTTGAAGATATGAATTTTATTTTCTCTTGGCAAAAACAATATTTTACTCACTCGCTGCGCTCGTTCGTAAAATATTGTTTTGCCACTCGAAAATAAAATTGATATCTTCACGCCATTGGTAATATCCTCTATATATTTTACACAAAAAAAGTTACAGTTACAATAGTTAAACTAAAAGAAAGGTACAAATATCAACAGTGGACAAAATACAAGAAAAAGAAGAGTTTTATAACTCTAATGCACAGATCTTAAATCAAATCATTAATTTTGCTTCTCGCAAACATCTCAGAATATCCTGTGTTTTAATTTTGTTACAGTTATGATACATATTAATATTAAGTTATATTAATTGGTAATAGAACTTTGTGTCGTCCAATTCGAACTGTAATTGTACTCGTGATTAAACAAATCGGACTCTCCCTATGCGGTCATTTGATTTTGTTAATCACTTGCATGATTTACCCTTATTAATCACCTTAAATTAACTACAAGTGTGATTTTTTGGTTAGGATTAGCCCCTGGCTACAGTTTTATCCTTTCTTTCAAATTTATTTATTTTTACAAATTTATTTTATTTCTTTATTGAAAACTCAGCTGGGAAATAAATAATAGTAACTCCTGCTCAAATAAAACATATACAACAAAAAAGGTTAACTTACGTGCAGTAGAAAAAAGAACAACATATGAAATAAGACATACAATTAACTATGAATAGGACAAACACTTCACTCACAATAATGGAAAAACTACAACGAATGCTGGCGATGTTTTAGAATTCGGGGCAGAAATAGAACAGACTTATTTACGAGAAAAACAAAATAATACACAATAGCAACACAGACTTGACCAGGGCATGAAATCGAAACAAATTTTGGATGGGTCCAAAAATTTGTTGCTTTCAAATATCAACAAACCTTTGGTTCAAACACGTCATTGTTCAGACGAAACCTCACGCGAGAAAACTAAGACAAATCCGGTAACGAAAAAAGTGAACAAGCTTGACGATAGAATGAGACGATCCAGTCTCTCTTTAAGAAGTAAATCTCGATGAATTTCGTGCTAATCTTTTTCTTACCTTTGCTTTACTTGTGTGCCACCAGATGATCGAGGGGTTACAGACTTGGAGCCCGATCGGCCGGCTCCGACACTCGTGGAAGAAGCTGATTGAACCTGTAAAGGAATAAGAGAAAAAGGCTTAAAATATCTGTGAAGAAATAGATTTTCCGTTAAAATTTAGGATCTTTTTGTCAGTTACATTTCAAGATTCTACTCACCATTGTGATGACTCGTCTTTTAGCACACAAAGAGGAAGAAGACGTGTGACGTCACCAGTGTCCCATGTTTCATTGCAAGACAAGTGCTGTGGGCTCCAGCTCCCCGCAAAAACTTGTTACCAGTCTCTCGCAATTCTCGCAAAGATATTTTAATTTAAATGCTTTTTTTTACTCTCGAAATGTTTTTCTGCACGTTTTGAAGGAATTAAAATTCTATGTCATGCATTTCAACACAGATAAAATTATATTTTACAAACTAACTAGCTCTTCAAATCTTGTGACAGATGTTGATTCAAACTTAGCGGTATTATGTTTTCTATTTGCGTTGTTTTTGTTCTATCAGCTTATTTGGAACTTTTGGAAATTCCACTCTTTCTTTTGTTTACTTAAAAAGTTAATTTTGTCAAAAAATCTGACGTGTTATATTGCCTTACAATTTCATCAAGGAGTCGAGAAAAAGAACTCTGGACCAGCTCTACTAAGACAAGAGTTCTTCGCTCTGTGTCGGCCTTGTTCCAAACATATCTAAAAAGAAGTCAAATTTATTGAATTATTCATAAATAGTATTATTTTACAGAATTAGAATGGATTTTAAGCGTAAGTGCGGGGTTAAAGTTTTCGTGTCTACGTGTTCGATTCAGGTAAGTGAATCTTAGGTATCACTATTTCCATTATAACTTTTGAATTAAATTTGTGCAGAAGACATTGCATATATTGTAGGCTCAGTTTAGACTAAGGGTATTTTAATACAGTTATTTCTTATTTCGTTATTTATTTATTTCTGTTTTCAAAATTTAAATGGTAAAAGATATCTATCTTGCCTTGGAGCTGCACTGGTTTGCCGCGTGTAAGCCGGGCTCGCCCATTGGCCAATGTCCAACTTGAAATTCAGTCGTAGCTGGTCGTCGTGACTTTCCTGCTGAAACATCTTCTCTCTCGCCTGTTTAACTGCAGATTAACATGCCAGCAAATCAAGCAACTCTGAACAGACTTGAAGTCGTTTTGGCTCGACTGGAAACAGTAGCAGTAAAGCTTGGGATCGATAGTCCCGCTAAAAGAGGGCATACACAAAGCTCCGCGGATATCCTGTCTTTGGTGGAGCGACTAGAAGCCGCGGCAGATAAAATTGAAGAGCAGTCTTCAGGTGGCGTAGGTAAATGTATTTCACGTCAGAATATCGTGTTATTTTCAAATTGGAATTTGTAATCTTGTCATGAGTGTAAAAATTGTCGACTTAAAATTTATTTTTCTTGTTAGGGTCTGGAAAAATTGTCGAATTCTACGATGAGGTGGGCGCAGTTTAAAGTTTATTTGATAGTATGTCGAGTCTGCATCTTTGCCAGCTTCATTCATTGATTTATACCAATTACATACTTCACAGATTGTTTTTCTTACTCTTTTTTAGTTCCTTGGAGGGAAGCTAAAAACATTTTTTAAGTTATCAGATGAGTTGGGAGGCGATGTAAAATCTCAGGTACATGAAGAATTCTCTTTTCAATAAGAAGACATTGCGTGACATCATGTTTTACGCTAAATTATAAATATTGTTGATTTCATTTTCCACGTTTAGGTAGACTTGGTCAAGAAACTCTTCCAAGCGCAAAGAGAATTTTTAGGCAAAGCTTCAAGCACAAAAATGCCTCCTAACGTAAGAAAAGTTTTTCTACTATTTTGTGTTAAGATATAAATTTCTATATTTAAGAAATAAACAGAAGCATTAGCACACATGTTAGTGCTTGGATTTTTAAATTGTTAATTTTTCTCAGCGACTGCGATTGGCTCTTTTAATCTAAGGACTTGTCACGCGATATCCTAACTGGAGTTTAAAGCCATTTCCGGTTACTTGCTTTAATCTTTTAGCACTATTGATTTCCAAACCTTGAAGGAAAAAAGAAAGAGAGAAAAACCCATAAGCTTTGGTGATCAATGAAAACAGCTAATTGCACACGCGCGAACGAAAATCGAGCGAAACTGTAGAAGAGCGGTCCTTGTCATCAAAACCTAAAACACAAACTCTTCAATATGGCAAGCTTATTCAAGCCCCGCCAAGACCGGTACATATGTCAGTTTTGTTTGTTTTAGTTAATAACGCTTGATTTCCTTTTCGATATGCGCTCATAAACAGAGCCGGGAGTTTCCATTTTCGCGGAAAATGAGCGTGCCCTAAAATGTATCTAAAGATAAACCGGTCCGTGAAAACGGCGTGACTTAGGCCTAGTTTGGGAGTTGGTCGCTCTGGGTTATGGGCTCCTGAAAAAATGAGAATGCTATGAGGATGCAGATATTTTAAGACACTATTGAACAGTGAAAAATAGCCAATCAGGCTTTGGGGATGAGTTAGTGACTTTAGTGAGCGAGTGAAAACAAAAAAAATAGCCTGATAATGAGGAGAGTAATAGAATGGTTTCTGCAGTTCAGAAGAGCTTCAGACCCTGGGGGAAACTAATTTCTACTCTAGACGATAACTTCAATATTTCGTTAAAATGCGGTATAATTCACAGGACAAGATTGCAGCAATGATACAGCCCACTGTGCAGCTTAGACAAGAAGTAGAGGTGAGAAAAATTTAAAGTTTCGAAAATTCTTCATGAGTACAACAAGTTTAGTAACTAGACTTGCTAGACCGTCCCAATTCCGCATCAAGAAATCAATGAATGAGAGAATCGAAAAGAAGGACTTGTTCGCTTTATTTACAAACCTTACGTGATATAATCAAGAGAGAATGCCCAGGTAGGTGGACAGTCTCCCAGAAACCTAAGACAACAGGGGTTGAAAGGAAGGGGCAACTGAATAATTTTCTGCGCGTTTTCTCAGTTCTGAAGCCTGCTACCAGGCAAGTTGCAACAGACGCTTAACCAAACTGAGAAAGAAACTTTTGTTCTTTGACTAATCACTTTTTTTTTTTTTGAATAAGGCATTCCGTGACAGGAACCGTAAGAGTCAGTTCTTCAATCATTTGAGTGCGGTCAGTGAAGGCACCGAAGCCCTCCTATGGGTTGGAGCGGTAAGAACGAAGTTTATATTTCTTTAATTTCAGATTTTTGTATTTAATGAGGTTATTTTTCGGGGGCCTCCCATATGAAAGTGGCGGGGACTGCTCGGGGAAATTTTAGATTAATTAAGAGACCAATCTGGGCGTGGCCCAACCTTTTTTTACACCTAAAAGAGACATGATTCGAGGAAAGGACATGATTACATGATTCGAGGAAATAAAACGTATTGAAAATATACGGGAATATATTTCTTCGCGTGCAACCCTAAAAGAGACTTTTGCGGATAAATATTGGCGTTTTGCCCTAAACACCCTAAGTGAGACCAAAATCCGAAATTTACACCCTTAAGCGAGACGACGAGCATCCCCGCTTCTTTTATATGGAAGTCCTCCCTGAGGGTTATTTTCAGTTCACTTGACGCAAGAAAACAAATAGACAGTTAGAAGCCTTTCACTGACAAATCCCGTCTTCTCCCCCTTCAGAAAGAGGACGGTGTTATGCAGCTCCGTCTTTCGAGCTTGCATCTCTTTACTTAGCCTACGGCCCGCACCAGAAGTTAATTTCCGTCTGTGTTCTTTAAACATCCAGGAACAAACAATCCGCGTCTTTTGTCGCGGATTTGCCGCTCGATTTTAATCGCACTTTTTCTTGCGAAGAGAGAAAGAACCCTACTTTGCGTGCTCTGAATCTTTATAATTTTCCTCACTGGGATTTCTCCCATGTCATGCTCTGTTATTTTTTTGTCTTTTTAGCCTGGCAAGCCTGACATTTTTGTAAGAGACAGGAAAGATGGCGCTGTTTTCTACACTAACCGCGTCCTGAAAGATTTTAAACAGTATGTCACAACACTAGAGCTTATCAGTTATTATAAGAACACTTAAGGCTGGTTTTCACTACCGACGGAGTTGGAGTCGGAGTCGGAGTCGGAGTCGGAGTCGTAAGCGGAGTCGTAAGAGCTGTTATGACCTAGTGAAATCAAAAATCGGAGTCGTAAGCCGAGCCATAAGCGCGACGAAATCGGAGTCAGACGAATCAGAACGTTTCCATTTCTTCCGACTTCGCTTATGACTCCGTCGCTTACGCTCCGCTTATGATCTAGTGGAAACCAGCTTGTTGGAGTTGGAAGCAGAAGCGGAAGGATAAACCAATCACAATGCACGTTCCCACGCTTCGGAAACGGAACGCTGTTTTCACTAGATCATAAGGTCCACGGTCCTCTACGCCTCTGATTACGACTCCTTCGCTAGAGAAAATCAGCCTTAACTTAGAAACTTCTAAAACATGCACTGCCTGGCATGCGCTTCGTATTTCGCATAGGGGCAAACGAGAAACGTGAGTGACTGACGACGAAGCGCAATGGACCATAGGAAGCAAAAAGAGCCGGAAGGCGTAGCCAGTTTTCTCCTTCTCGCCTTCCTTTGCGCCCAAATTTTCATCGAGAGAGAAGCGTCTTTTTAAGATGCAGTCCAAAACATCTCAGTCATTTTTTTCTCCTTTTTATTTTGATTTCCTACAGGAATCCAAAACACGCTGAATGGGCCCATTCGTACATCGCAGCTTTAATTGAATTGCAGCAGTACTGTAAGGAGTTTCACCCCACTGGCGTATCCTGGGCTGCAGAATGATAAACTATCATAATCATCATAGATAACCTTGAAGACTAGGACAAGAAACAAACATTACACTTCTATTGCTTTTAAAATAGACGCGCAAACGTCTTTAAGGACTCCGTGTTTAGTGCATTGTTGAGAAGGCATATAATCGCGAAGGATCTTTTTCTTATGCCTCTTTACCTCAACGAGAGGACGAGTTTTCTCTTTATTTCTTTTGCGCTTATTCTTATTATTTTAAGAAATTGCGTGTGCTCTAGTAACGAGGTCGCGTACATTCAAGCACGGCCGTTTTGTGGGTCACGTACTTTATGGAAATGCAAACTAATCATAACGCGAGCATTTCTCTGAACATTATATGATATTCTTAAGGCCACGGTACACTTGGAGGCTGTGCTGTTTTTGTTCAGCCTACTACACTACTAAACATGCATTTTATTTCAGTTAAGAACCCAAGGATTTAGCTAAAAAACTGTCCACAATTTGTCTGTTTGGTCATTAAAATCGTCTTTTCTTTGGTCTGTGCCAAGAGCTTTTTACCCAAATGTTACTTATGTCGTCCCGATATTTCAGAACGAAAGTGCTGAGGTTGGGGCACTCAACGGAAGTCTGGGTAGAGACAAGGTGTGTCACCGAGGCCTTTAAACCCAGACCCACCTTAAAGGCTTTCGGTTCAAAAGAGAGTGCACCCTTCCTCCCCATCCCCCCCCCCCCCCCCCCCCCCAAACTTCGGGGGAAACCAGAAAAAAAAAAAAACAAATTGTTTCTGGGTTGCTCTCAAAAAAATAGCCGTTTTCTTTTTTTAAAAAAAACCCTTACAAATTTTTCAAAAAATAACGGTAAGGAAAACGAGTTGCCCGAAGACAAAGCCTTTTTCCCCAATGTTTCTTATTTTGTCCCGAAATTTTAAGACGAAAAGGGTGAGGGTGGGGGCCTCAACGGAAAGCTTGGGAGAGACAAGGTGTGTCCCCGAGGCCTTTAAACCCCGACCCCCCTTAAAGGCTTTCGGTTCAAAAAAGAGTTCCCCCTTCCCCCCCCCCCCCCCCCCCCCCATCCCACCCAACGTTAGGGGATAACAGGAAAAAACAAAAAACTAGTTGTTGCTGGATGTCTCTCAAGTAATTAGCGGTTTTCTTTTGTTAAAAAGAACCCTTCAATATTTTTCAGAAAGTAACGATAAGGAAAACGTGATGCGCAAATATATTAGAGAAAAGTTTATTAGAGAAACTGGGCTTTTTTACATCTTGTCCTCATGAAACTGCGGCAGGGGGAATTCTCCTAGCTCAATATGTCACTTTGTACTCTTTTTACACCTGGTTGTCAAACCTTTAGGGATGAACGTCACTGTATCTCCCTTAATTTTTATTGAAAAATCACGCCCCTGTGTCCTTTATACAAATCAAAAACAATAACAATCTCACTCCGATAATTACTATAATCAACCTCGTCCCCAGGGCTTTTCCCTCAAAAAATGGGTTTGAGGGAAAAGCCCTGGGGACGAGGTTGTACTATAACCTCATAACCTAACCTCACATTACAGCCCTCACATTCGCAGTCAATATGGAGTTTAAGCAGCGACCTTTTTGAGCAACGCTCGTCAACCAAAAGTGAGCCTTTTTCTTTTTAATATGCATAGGCACCACTAGATTTGTAAAGCCATATCACCCGGGCGTTAGCAATCTCGACCCTAGAGCCGCTTCTGCGCGCAAACCCGAAAGCACTGGGGTGGAGAATGTGGCAGACACCTGTCTCTCGACCCAGGGGCGTTCTTATTAGGGATCATCAAAATATGGAATATCAGCAAGTCCACTGCGACAAACCAATCAGCATGGTATGGCCGTCTGGCCAATGAACCGCGGACTCTAGCTCCTTGAATAGGTTCAATTCAATGTTAATGAGAGAGAATCATGAAACGGCAAACTGATCCTTACGGCAAGGCGATGAAGCAGTAAACCCAAGAATAAAACAAAATATATATTTAAACAAATTTGCCCATTTGTTGAAATATACATTTTTTGTTCTTTTCTTTTGTTTTCTTCCTCATTGCCTTGCCGTAAGGATCAGTTTGCCGTTTCATGATTTTCTACAAGTTATTATTGTTCTGATCAAGGCCCCCGTTGTTCCAACGTTAGATAGCGCTGTCCACCTGATAAATCACCATCCAGTGGGTAGCGTAATTGATTTCTGTGATACTTTTCCGCTGGATAGTGATTTATCCGGTGGATAGCGCTATCCAACGTTTGAACAACCTGGGCCAGCTCTACAACTGGGAGATCCGGCACCACTCATCGTTTTGTCGCTGTGGACCTGCTGATATTTTATATTAATGAGAGATAGCCTGCCTATTTTACTTAAAGGCTCGCAATTGCAAGGGTGGTGGATTACTCGCGCTTCGATTCGTGGGCATGGGCGAACCATATTTTGCGTTCACATAAACTCATATGGGTTTTAGCACTCACATTCCTCATGTGCTGGTTTCATCACTCAGTTAAAGTGCTCGTTACTGTTAGAAGTAGTATTTACTATTTATCTCACTCATAAATCGCGAAAGTTCATGAACAAGTAATAGGCAAGAAAATGTTTATTTTCCTGACTCCAGACCATTGAGAGTCTCTATTGAGCGCGCCACGAGTACTCGAGAAACGCGAAACCAGTATTGTCAAAGCCCGCGCGAGAGACGCACGCGCCAATGGAGAGACTGGGTTCTAAACGAAACCAATATGGCGACGGATCATTGACCAGACAAAACACGTGTGTAGTAAGTAACATAATTAGATTTCTGAAACTCGGATTTGAGCTTCAGCAGTTCTTTTACTTACTCGTCAACACTTGGCTTTATTCATAATCTAAAAAATCTCGCTCGTGGCATGGTAGAAGTCGTGAAAAATCTGGCACGGGTCTTGTGAGGTAAGCTTATGTTTAATATCAGCTATTTTGCAGAAAACGATGGTCTCATAAGCAAGTAATATTGCTGATGGTAATTAAAGGATTAAATCATCAGGTAAATCCATTAGATCTGGTACAAATTAAGGCGAAACATGAAATTTGGCAGGTACAGACTATACGTCAAAGGTCACAGGTCACAAGTGCAGGTCATTGCTCTGTTGATGAATATTATCGGATTTTCATTCCTCATGGAAGGAGTTTATTATGTTGCCGACCTTTGTAACAGTTGTGAAATTATAAAATGTGCGTGGATCATATAGTGAGGCAGAAACACGAGTCTGCTTTGGAAGGTAGTTGCAGTGATGTCATTGATTGTGATGTTGAGTTGCATTAAGGTTTCCAAGCAACATAACTTCCACTGGGTATAATGAAAGGCTGATATGTTTACTTCCTCTGTGAAAAAATGTTTAAAATGTTTACAGCTGGTAATCGTGACCAACAGACCTTTTCACGGTTTATGGCGCCATCTTGAGTGGTGGGCAAACACGGCTAAAATTATAGTAAATGTATGGAATTTTGGCCCACTTGGAACTGCTGTAAGGCCACTACAAAGAGGCAGATTTCCATGGCAAAAATGTATTTTTAAAGATATTTGTACTGAGATTATTTTCATGAAGTATAAAGAAGAGATTCAGGATTGTAATAAGGATTATAAACAATTTTTTAAGATTTCATACAAACCCTTCTAATCAATATTACGCAAATTACGATAACATTAGAAGCCACATGAGAAGATTTATTATTCGAATTAACGGACATCGTACCTTCTGTAATAGCCTTATTTTCTGTTGAATGAATGATAATCAATAAAACTATTTAAAGTAATGGCAAATGTTGGAAATCCGCCCTCTTTGTAGTGGTGTTACAGCGTTTCCAAGTGGGCCAAAATCCCATACATTCACTGTAATTTTAGCCATGTTTGCCCCCTAGCCAAGATGGCGTCAATAACCGTGAAAAGGTCTATTCTCCTCATGCAAATGCAGGGAACTGCAATGTCTCCAAGGCCGACGATAAGAGACTTTGCAGCAGTTCTTATTGGCTGTCGGCCATAATATGTTCTTCAAATGCAATGAAATGAGTTTAAATAGGGCTTTTACCGTCAAAACCTTGCTTAGTTTCTTTGTATATCTTTCAATCCTTGATAATAATTTGCCTCGCCTAATTAATATTTGGTAGCATGGCATAGGAGACTAGGAGATGACTTTGCATTAGGTGGTCCTTGTCGAATCTTGGCCAAGGTATTTTTTCCTTTTTGTCGTTTTTTTTTTAAACCACATTTTCTTACATATTGGCCTGTTTTCCTTTATTCCTACTGCTGCCCTTGTACAGCTTCACAAAGCGTTGCACAGTGGTAACCTGTACTCTAACCTGCACTTGTGATGTGACCTGTGACCTGTGTTTTTGCCACCTGAAATTAGCGGACACGCACAAGGCGTCTGTCGTTGTCTGCTTACCAAACATTCCTTTGCTTATGAATACTTTTATATATCGATCACAGGGGTATTTTGAAGAAAACTGGAGAGCCACTTAATGCCAAATGACTCCAAAGTTTAGTGATCAGGGTTAGGAAACAGTGTGAATCAGGTTTCATTGAGGGTTCTAGTATACTGGGCAAACTAACCTTCAACTTGAGTCACTCAGTTTCATAACACTGATCACTAGTTTTTTGGGGTTTGGCAGTTGCTTGGCATTTTAAAAAAAAACAGCTTTGCATGCATGGTACAAATTAAGAGCTCTTGTTTTGAGGAACTGCATTACAAAAATGCGTTGTAGTGGGCTACATGTAGAAGTGTAAACTCTTCACAGATCTCAGCTCATAAATTTAACCAATATTATCTTACCCTTTGAGCACGCTGATTTTGGCGCCAAAGGGGGGAGGGTAGGTTGGTCGGTTCTGTCCCATTGTCCAACCCTTTACCGTTTTATATCATTTTACCATTTTGGACAGAGAAGGTACCCCTTTCGGATACCTTTTATTGATAAATGGTGCCCTTTATTTACTCATAATCTGCAACATGTTTTTTGCCCCAGGGGGGGTAGTCCCTTATATAGGCTATATAGGTATGTGC